AAAATTGGGGGCAATTGGGCAAATGTGTTAGTGGAATTTGAAAAAAAAATTTTAACTGGGGGCATTTTTTTTAAAAATTGGGGGCATTTTATTTAAAAATTGGGGGCAATGGGGCAAATGTGTGAGTGGAATTTGAAAAAAAAAATTTAACTGGGGGCATTTTTTTTAAAAATTGGGGGCATTTTTTTTTCAAAATTGGGGGCAATAAATTATTTTGGGATCGAGAAAATCAGGTATTTTGGGAATTATATGGACCCCTGAGTGTCCCACAAAACAGTAGCAAAACGACTTCCAGGTCTCTTTGATCTTTGAAATATATTGTGAGAATTATAGAATTAATAATTGCAAAATTATCCTATTTTTTGCATTTGCCTTTTTTGCACTTTTAACACAGTGATAATCAGATAAAAATGGAATAGAACGACGACATTATCACAATACGTAAGTGTATTTAATGGTATTACAAAGCAAATGGTTTTACCAAACACTTATAAAATCACTTATTTTGTGATATAGGTCGTTTTACACTGCACAATTGCTGCGTTTCGTCGTCATTGAACTTTTTAAAGTTAAAACTTGATTCTAAAAGTCGTCTTACTATTCCAGAGTTTTCTGGTTATCACTGTATTATTGGAGATATGAAGAATTTTCTTAAGATTTCGACAATTATGGTTTTATTTAATAGAATTGAAATCTGATCGATATTCTTAATATCCTCGAAAATATTAAAAACACACAAAAGGCATATCACAGTCTGAAATTTCAGGGAAATTTTTAATTATTGTTTCAAGAATCAGACATATTAAAGAAGGTTGATAACTGAATAATAAATTTTAAGATTAAAGACGAATTTAATGTCGTCTTGCTACTGGCATGTTTCGTACACCCTGTAGCTTACAATAATTGTGTTAGATCAAACTACATTCAATTATTGTTAGTGGAATAAAATACATGGTGGTAAAAAAAGCAAGGTTGTGTAATAAGTTTAGTTACTCTCGAGATGTGCTCCAACGTAAGGAAAATGTCGTCTCCTACAGTGAAACCCTTAAGAAAAAATTCATCAAATGTCGTATTCTTTACTTTCTGATAATATGAAATGTTGCAGATATTTAGTTTTTTAATTAAATGATTATATGGAACTCTTTAAATCTGTTCCCGCATATTCATGGCTATTTATTTATTTTCGCAAATACTGAAATTTACGTAATATAGTATAAAACTCATTGAAAAATTGTCAAGACGACATTTGATAAATTCTTCCGATGTATTCGTTATTAAGGGTTT